CATATTCTCGCACCGTCAACTGGATGACTCGATTACTCCTCCTATGTATGCTTAACCACGCACACGGACAAACTGGTAAATACAATGGGATGTGACGCAATCATTGATGCAGTGTTTAGGTTTTTAGTGAAGCATATGTTTTGTGTTCTCCACAATGATAAGATTTGTCAGGTAATATTTTTTCTTAATGGCTGATATTAGCCTACGTCTCACAATGATACCATTCAACTCGCCTCTGTATGGAAGTAGAGCGATATGGACACTTTTCTTAAGGACCGTGTATACAGTTGGCTTTGGTGCTACTTGACCTCTACAACAGTTTATAAACTTGTTGTTATTCATCGAAGACTGACATCAGTTGGAGGAACAAAGGAAACCTGGGAGCACTGGACAGCTGTTTCGTCCAACTAGTATGGGACTCCTCAGCAGTGCGCACCCACGACCCCACCAGCAGGGGTCGAACCCGCGACCTTCAGGTTCCGCGGCCAGCGCGTTACCATTGAGCTAGCCACTGGGTCAGGATCCAATGCTCCATATTTTGCAACTTCTGTTAGCTCACGATATATAGCGCAACCGCCACCCAATGTCATCGAGAAGTATTCCCGAAGTTCCAATGACAAGTCGTGACCGGTGGAGTCAAAGCCTGATGGCCGTGAGGACAAATACTCAACGATGACATTGGGTGGCGGTTGCGCTATATATCGTGAGCTAACAGAAGTTGGAAATATGGAGCATTGGATTCTGACCCAGTGGCTCAATGGTAACGCGCTGGTCGCGGAACCTGAAGGTCGCGGGTTCGATCCCTGCTGGTGGGGTGGTGGGTGCGCACTGCTGAGGAGTCCCATACTGGTCGGACGAAACAGCTGTCCAGTGCTCCCAGGTTTCCTTTGTTCCTCCAACTGATGTCAGTCTGCGATGAATAACAACTTGAAATATTTCCAAATCTCCACAAACCCCTCAAAAATTTAATTATAAACTTGTGTTAATTGTTGTATTTATCCCCCCCCAGTCCTCGGTTTAATATACATTTGCTTGACTAGTAAATGTGTGATCAGATTGTTCGAAATGTATTGCGCAAATACATCAGCCACATTGTTCAGATAAACTTCATCTTCTCCCTTTGTTAATTTAACTTTCGTATCCTTACGTTATCACTATTATTGTTATCATAATTGCCTTCAAACTGATTAGTTTCCGGTGTTACTTTACTTAATTATCTTTATCCTTTTAGAAAATATTGATTTCATCTTGACCAACTTGTCTAATCCTATTAAATAATACTTAACTCATTTGCCACTTTCATCAATTGTTTCACCCCCTTCTGAGTTATATACTTTTTATGAACCATTCCATATATTATGTAATCTACTTTGTTATCATAATCACAAATGGCTATGTCATCATTCGCTCTATCATCATCATATAGTGTTTAGTTTTCCTTACGGGATATAATTTTTTTAAAATATCATATATATATACACGAATGTACAGCTTGAAAGTAAATTCGTTGAAAAGAGTCTTTTAGCTGAATATCTTGTTCTTGATGTTACAATGAGAATTATTAAATTAGAAGTAGTATTTATCATGGGCTGACATCAGTTCGGGGAACCATTGAGAATCTGGGAGCAATGGACAGCTGTTTCGTCCTTGCATGGGACTCCTCAACAGTCCATGATGAATGCTACTTCGAAATTAAAACATCCCCATTCATCTCAAAAATACATTACTGTATAGTGCTCATTACTGACTTGCTTCCACATGCATATCACGAAACTCTAATGAGAAGCCGTCACCTGTGGCGTCAACCAAACCAGTCCGAAGTGAAGTGTATGCTAACTGAAGACCTTGGGTGATAGTCGCACTATGTCGTGAATTGATGGAAGTTGGAAATTGTCAACCACTGGAAACCAACACAGAAGCTGAATGGTTAACGCGTTCACCGTGAAACCTGAAGGTTTTGAGATCGATCCGTATCCGAGTTGTGTGTGCGTACTGCTGAGGGGTCCCATACTAGTTGGACGGAACAGGTGTCCAGTGGTCCCAAAATCTCAATGGTTCCACGACTGATGTCAATTCATGATGGATACTACTTCTAAATTAAGAAAAAAATCCCATCCATCTGAAAAATAAATTATTAAATTAATGTACATGTTTGTTGTGAGGTTGTGATGTCCTACCATAGAGTTATACATATGTATTCATACTGGGGGATGATTGTAAGTGAAATGAAAATTTGGACTGTAGCCGGATTCAAACTAGTGACCATCGGGTTTCCGGTCCGATGCTCTGGTCGCTGGTTCGAATCCGACTGCAGTCCAAATTTTCATTTTCACCTTCAACAATCATCCAGTATAAATACTAGTCTGCCAAACTATGGCTACTATCTCAGATAATCAGATAATAAGCATATATATTCATATGAGAACCAAGAAAGCAGCATGAAAATGCAGACACTCCGATAATCAAAATGGGTCAAAAGCTTGTGAAAATATAAGTTACGTAATAGTGAAGGGTGAGGTAAGTGGATAAACAAAGCCTAGACAAATACAGTAAGTATACGAAAGGGGTAAGTACATCACTTTATTGAAAGCTGTCTACTCGAACACATGTGAGTATGTTAGAGCCTATGGTGAGCTATGCTCATCGAGTAGTGTCCGTCAAGGATGCCCACTGTCTCCATTTTTATTCGATTTCATCATAGATATTCTTATGGAGGTCTCCCTCTCGTCACCAGGTTACACAGGAGTTGACCTAATCACTGGAGAATCTTCATCAGAACTGGAATATGCAGATGACATAGTCCTGTTAATCCTGTCAACACGCTGACAAGATGCAGAGTCATCTGAACACTTTGAGTGTCAATTTGAGAATGTTTGGGATGGGGTTCTCACCACCTAAATGCAAATTTTTCCTCCAAGATTGGTCTTCAACGGTGCACGGCTAACAATAGAGAGTGAAGTGGTTGAGTGTGTCAACCACCTTATTTACCTGTGAAGTGGATCAGCACTGTCCTGGTGGCTCAGTGACCGATGAAATCTCTGCACGAATACAGAAGGCCCCGGTGGGTTTTGCCAACTTACGCTACCTGTGGTATCACCGTGATATCAGATTGTCTATTAAAGTTGGGGTGTACTGCACAGCAGTCCGGTCCATTCTACTATATGGCTGTGAAACATGGCGATTGAAGGTGGCAAACATGAGAAGTCATGAGGTGTTTGACCACCGTTGCCTTAGTAGTATAGTATACGCTGTATTCCGTAATGTCACCACACCACGTGAGTAACGCAGACGTCAAGTGTAGAGTTTTAGGGAGTAGAGGTAAGTGAGCTGACACGATTGTGAACCTTCATCGATTGAGATGGTTGGGACATGTGCTACGTATGCCCAGTCACCGATTGCCTCGTCACACAATGTTGGCCGAAGTAGGCCCAGGTTGGAAAAAGGTTCAAGGTGGTCAAACTAAAACATGGCACCAATGTATGAAGTCTTTGACTGATGGTTTGAGCTGTGTATGGATGGCGATGCAGACTAGGTGGTTGGGGTCGGTGGGACAAGAAGAACCAATGGTTGGAGATTGACTCTAAGTGATATGGGTGAGAACCGATGTCAGCGATGGAGATGTATACACACATTATCCTCATCTTAACTACGCTATACCGAATGTCTTCATTTCTTCATTCTTCCTTTCTCTCTCTCTCTCTCCTTTCGTACTTTATATGTCCGTTGACTGAATTTCACTGCCATTTTACTTAATGTAGTGGATATGAGGTGTGGTGGCAAGTGGGACCGTTAAGCAGTAATGCATGGTCGTATGTTGATATTGATGATGATGATGATGATACGAAAGGGGTGAAGAATAAGAAAAGGGTAGGGAAAAAAAGGAATAAAAACTGAATGATTAAGTTATCAACTAAGTAAGTTTTCTTTGGCCAAGGGAGAGATAAGGGATTTACAAACTTCTTCTGGATACAAAGGATAGGATTATTAGCACGAATTCCCATTGCTTCTGCTACATGTTGCAGTTGACGAGTTTGAATACCTTTCTAAAGATAAAGTGGTATGCGATGAATAATTGTCAAAGCATTGTTCTTATCTACCGAGTGACCACTATCAACGAGGTGAGATAAAACTAGGCTTCTGATGGATTTTATCTTTCCCTTTCCCAACCACATGAAGGTAAATGATCAGCAACACGTTTGTTAAGTTTTCTAGTAGTACGCCCTAAATAGCTTTCTCCACAGGAGCAGCTCTATGTGTAAATACACATAGAAATGGCAAAACTAGATAAATTTTGAGGGAGTTATGGAGATTTGGAATTATTTCAAGTTGTTATTCATCGTAGACTGACCGGTGGAGTCAAAGCCTGATGGCCATGAGGACAAATACTCAGCGATGACATTGGGTGGCGGTTGCGCTATGTATCGTGAGCTAACAGAAGTTGGAAATATGGAGCATTGGATTCTGACCCAGTGGCTAGCTCAATGGTAACGCGCTGGTCACGGGACCTGAAGGTCGCGGGTTCGATCCCTGCTGGTGGGGTGGTGGGTGCGCACTGCTGAGGAGTCCCATACTGGTCTACGAAACAGCTGTCCAGTGCTCCCAGGTTTCCTTTGTTCCTCCAACTGATGTCAGTCTACGATGAATAACAACTTGAAAAAAAAAACTAGATAACTTATCTTTTGTCTGAGCAGTAACGATTGGTCGACTGGAAATGATAGACAAAGTTGTGCTGCGTAGAAGATCGTTTTAATGACTCTAGAGAGTCTCTGGTATAAACTTCTCCGGCCACATCCCATTAAATTGCAGTTTCATAAATAAAGGTTTCTTGTGTATGATAATAGCACCAGGTTTGTTCCCCTTGGCTTTGTCCATGTGTTTTTTTTATGAAAATGTTAGGATAGCCGATTTCAACGGATATAATCTAACTATAGTTAACTATGAATAGGTAAATTGGCCTAACTATCTTTCTTTTTCGATTTCTCTCTCTTTTTCTGATCCAGGACCTCTAAGGAACAATCAAGTTCTCATCCAGATGTAGTTAGCCAGGAACAAGATTCATATATTTATACACAAGAAAATGTTGAAGTTATTATCCCTGTAGGACAGAAATTTTCTAGCCCTTCAATTTTAGAGATCACATCTGAACAAAATGATCCAGTTGAGGATATTGAATCAAATAATTTAATTCCCAAGAGTACTACAACTGAAGAGATGCTGATCAATGAAGTGGAGACAAATTTAGTTTGCCATGAAAAGATGACTGGACGAAAACGTAAATATGCTGATGAGAAATCAGAATTACTTATCGGAAATAACATTCATTCCAGCATAAATGATCAATTACTTGAAAGCGATTTTATTCCCAATGAAGTTACCAATCAGATGATGTCAACTGAAGTAATCATTATGGATCAAAATGAGTGTAATCCCTTAGAACACTTGAAATCAACTAGTGAAGTTTACTCATTGCCAGAAAATTTAAGTCAGCAGAAATCTCAACAAATAGAACAACATATATTATCAAATGAACAAGTTTTACTAAGTGTTCCACAGAAGAAATCTGCTAAAAAGTCGAAAAAAAAGCGTAAACAGACATTAGAATTATCTCAACAAGTTGAAGAAATGATTGTTGATGATCACTTGAAGTCACACGAAAACTCACATACAAGTATTACATGTGAATTGATAAAGAATACTGATTTACATGACACAGTTGTCTTGAGTCTGAGAGTTGTGTAACTGTAACTATGAAAGAAACACTTATTTCTGATACACAGTATCAAAAGGAGGTCATCGAGAAGAGTGTTAATGTATACGATAGCCATTTTCAGTCAGACAAACCAGTCATAACGAAAGTCACCAAAACTTCCAGCAAAAAACACACAGTACCATTAAACTCTGATGTTCAGATAACAATAGAAGAAGACAACAAAGACTTGATTCCTTCAAATGATGTACCTGTATCTAAGCCAGGTATGAGTATTTCTATAGATAGCGGGAATAGTGAACCGAGTGACTTGATATCATCATCATCATCATCGTCGTCGTCAGCAGCAGCAGCACCGGCAGGAACACATTACAAAGCAGACACACCATCATGCAATTCAGGCAGTAGTTCACAGGTATTTGAAGTTGGCAGTGAAAATTCATCACCTACACCATCCGCTGGTGTTCTGATTGAATCAAGTAAATTATCCAATTGGTCTTCTTCTTCTGAGAAAATATCTCAGAGAAATAACAAAACTCAAGATGAGGAATTGCATGATGATTCGATTTCTGAACAGATGAAAGATGATGGACTAAGCAAAAAGGCAGATAAGAAGAAACAAAACACACATTTGGATAAGATTCCTGATGATCCTATACTTTCTCAGTCTACAGATCTCATTGGTCAGGCTTTAATTCAGTCGAACATCAGTTCGACGATAATACATGATTCTGACATTCTTCCTGATGAAGTTCAACAAGCATCAGAACTTCTCATTGACCCACAGAAGATTAAATCAATGCATAAAACACCTCAAGAACTCACTGATGAAAGCATATTAACAATTGTTTCATCAAAATTACCTGACACTGAAGTATCCTCTACACAATTATCGAGTCAAGCTTCGAAGAATGAATCTAAGAAATCCAAAAAAAAGCATGAAAAAATAAGTCATGAAGTTGGTAAACCTTTGGAAGTTACAACCGGAAATTTTAACCATATCATGTTAACTTCAACAAATACTACACCATCTGATGAACAAGCTAAACTGATGGAATTAGATATATCAAGTTGTCAGGTTGCATCAGAACTCTCAGATATTAATCGGTCCCATCTTACTACCGTTGATATCTCATTGAATGGAACAACAATTACTATACCAAAGAAGTCACCATGTAAACAATCTAAAATGAAATCAATGTCTACTTCTTTAAATGATGAAAAGTTAACAAATGAAATTCATATAAATTTACCTAATTCTTCATTTATTACTGAGAAAGTTCAATTAAGTAGTATAATTCCACTTAGTAATTATAATTCTGACAAAAGTACTAGAAATGAAACACAATTCATTCAATCATCATTACAGGTATTAAATGATGAAAGACAAGAACAATCAAGGCATATAATCGATAATTTATTGTTCAATAATACAGAATTGAACAATATACCATCTAATAATAACAATAGACCAATAGTGAATTCAAAGAAGAAACAGAAAGAAACAACGAAGCCAATTAAAGACAGAATAGATGATTTTAAGAAGGATAAAGTTGTCAAAGAACACTTATCACCTGATGTCAGTCTAAGAACATTAATCAATAAAACTGAAAGTTCATTACTATTAGCATCATCCTCTAATAAATCGATAAATCAAGCATCTCAAAACTTCAATAAACAAGAAAGTAACAAAAAGAATAAAAAGAATAAATTATCATTATGTAATGATGACGACAACTTTATATCATTAGAATCTAGTGTTTTGAACATAATGAAAACTCATCAGTCTTCTATCAATCCTCAACAAGAGAATAAAATATCCAATAAAATTATTTATCCTCAAATGAATCAAAAATGTTCTACAAGTAAAAAAAAATTATCATTACCTAAATTAAAAAAAATTAAAAATAAGAATAAATTGAATAGTATTGACCAAACTCATCAATATGTAATGAATGAATCAATAATGGAACAATCAAAGATAATTAATACTGATATGAAAGAATCTCAAGAGAATCTTAGAAAACGTCGTTTCCCGAAATCTTTTATGACACAAGTAAGTTGAATCCTCTGGTTCCATTGGATATAATAGTTTGTTTTTAAAATGAATAGGGATTAGAAGTAGTATTCATCATGGAGTGACATCAGTTGGGGAACCATTGAGAATTTGGGAGCACTGGACACCTGTTTCGTTCAACTAGTATGGGACTCCTCAGCAGTACGCACACACAACTCGGATAGGGACCGATCTCAAAACCTTCAGGTTTTACGGTGAACGCGTTAACCATTCAGTCACTGGGTTGTTTTCCGGTGGTTGACGATTTCCAACTTCTGTCAACTCAAGACATAGTGTGACTATCACCCAAGGTCTTCAGTTAGCATACACTTCACTTCGGACTGGTTTGGTTGACGCCACAGGTGACGGCTTCTCATTAGAGTTTCGTGATATGCATGTGAGCACTATACAGTGATGTATTTTTGAGATGAATGGGGATTTTTTAATTTCAAAGTAGTATTCATCGTGGACTGACATCATTTGAGGAAGGATTGAAAATGTGGGAGCACTGGACAGCTGTTTCGTCCAACTAGTATGGGACTCCTGAGCAGTACTCACCCACAACCCTGCTAGGGATGGAACTCAGGACCTTCAGCTGTCCAGTGATCTCGTATTTTCAATGGTTCCCCAGCTGATGTCAGTCGATGATAATAGGGAGTTTATCATTTAAGCATTCAAAAGATGGTTACTCTTTTTTACTGGAAGCTAATTAACCATGTATTGACATTGATGCATATAGACAAAATCAACGTAAAACCTTATACGCAACTGCATCGGTTCACTTTACACCCTTCATAGTAGTGTACAGAGAACAAATCGATCGAAGAAGAGCAATATCAAAATCGATAAGATTGTATGAGATAATAAACAACTTGAAGATAAAAATTAGTGCAACTATTCAAGTGAATAAAACTGCACTATTGTCATCCAGAGTCCTCAATCGTTGACTCCAATTGTCTTGGGGATTCTAACCAGATTGTCTACATCTCTACACATACCTTCGACTAAAAGTCAGTGACTTGATACATATGTGTTAGTTGGTTGTAAGCAATAGACTGCACGATCTCATCGACTTGCGTTTCATGGTTGTTGACACTTGTCAGTAAGGCGTATCTGCAACCTTAGATTCGAATCCGTATCACCTAAGACTAGACAATATGAAATTGGTTGCTATCCAATGAGTAATCAGTCTTTTTTTAGTTACCCATTAGTTTTTATGATACAAACAACAAGACACTATGTAGCATAGAGAAAACACCATCAAACATAGTTATCAGTTGTTAGAAACACGTTCATTATTCCCATTATGACATCAAAACAAGATATTCAGCGAAGACGAGGATTCTCTTCAACGAATTTATTCTCATCCTGTACATTCGTATATATGATATTTAAAGACTGTAATCCGTGAGGTTGATTTAACTAAAAACAGAGTGATTATGACGATATAAAAGTACAAAGATTGCGCTATATCGTAAGCTAACAGAAGTTGCAAAATATGGATGATTGGATTCTGACCCAGTGGCTAGCTCAATGGTAACGTGCTGGCCAAGGAACCTGAAGGTGGCGGGTTCGATCCCTAGTGGGATGGGGTCGTGGATGCACACTGCTGAGGAGCCCCATACTAGTTGGACGAAACAGCTGCGGTCTAGTGCTTCCAGTTTTCCTTTGCTTCTCCAACAACTAATGTCAGTCTACGATGAATAACAATTTTAAAGATTGATCTGACAAAAAAGGGGATTGGAGTGAAAAAGGAAAAAAGAGGACGAAACACACTAAGACTAAAATAAATTAAGGCCAAGGTAGAGATAAACACTGTACATACTTCTTTTGAATACAAAGGTCAGGCTAGCTTCATTTCATGGATAGCCAAGGCCTCTACTATTTTTAGAAGCTGAACACAGAGGAAACGTGAGGTGTTAGAGTGAATTCGATAGACAACCTTGAAATCCTTGTTTGGATTCTTTTGAATGGTTGGAATCGATTAAATGCTCAAGGATAAGACTTCTGATACATTTCCTTTAAATGTTTCTATGCAACAATTATTGAATTAATCTTCGAGTCCTTTGTAAGTTGAACAGGTATATTGTTGACAGCTGTAGTTTACCATTTTTTTCTTCAAAAAATACAGTTGGCTGATGGCTTTGATAAACATTTCTGTAATCATGTAGATCTGCATTCTTTAAAATTATTTCAACTTTAAAATGAATCTATGATGAAAAGAAATAAGCTAACCTACTTATTATTAAGTAATTTCAGTAGTAAATATGAGTCAGAATGTGATATGGTTGTTTACTTCACGAATAAAAGATCAAGTTGGTCTTTTTTTAAATGAATTTATGCTTATAGTTTTACTCATCGATAATAAAGCGATATGATACAACACATAGCTATACATGCGATAAGGAATACACACAGAGTTTATAATTTTGCACTGGCATTGCTTTGTGATTGTAAAGCATTGTAGGTGATTTAGTGTGCAATAAGCTGGCTCAGATCCTTATCACAGAAGCTTTTCACATGCAATTGTTGTTGCTTAGAAGTTTTGAGAAACATCATATTTTGACTATCTGAGACAACCGTGATTTGGCAGACTTGTAGTGATGATACTTGGGTGATGATGACTGAAGATGAAATGGAAATTTGGATTGCAGCCGTATTCGAACCAGCGACATATCGGGTTTCCGACCTGATACTCTACCAACTGAGCTATGAGGTTCGACTACTGCTGATTAGATTTCCCTTTCACTTCAATTATCATGTGAATTCGTGATGCGTTACTGTCACCTGATGGTCGCTGGTTCAAATTCGGCGGCGGTTCAAAATTTTCATTTTACCTTCTTCAATCATCACCCAGCATCTAGATGTAAATATTGGATTGGTTGAAGAGGCAAAAGTCAATAGGTTACGCCACTTTCCAATACACTTAGTGTTATCTTACCGAGGAACTGGTCGGCCATCTAGGATGGGGACTGAAATTCATTGTTCAAGTGTCCACTTGGATGTATGTAACTAAGAATATATGAATACAGCACAGATCTAAGTCTTTGGTGTACATTTAATACATTTTCGAGGTTACAGATACACCTAGTAAACCATTGTGAATAAGTATAAAATCCATATGAAGCAAAGCTTTCTATCGATTACTTCGAGGTACCTAAGTTATGACAGTTTTATTGGTTTGCTAGATTTATTACAGAGTGTAACAGTATTGTCTACCAGACGACTACGTTTCGGACATAATTTATTGTCCACAGTCATATCAAGATAACTATACAACTTTGAAGATATCCCCTTTATATAATCCTAATTTTCTCGCTTCCTTATTGTGATATTATGGGTAGTAGGATTTTCTGCATATCTTGAAACAGGTGCTGAGTTATTTCTCTTGCATGGATTTGGTGTTGATTCGATGAACAAAGATTCAGTTATTAATTTCTCCATCCACCCAACGCTATCACTGTATCTCACCCTACTGTATGAGATTGTATGTAATTAGGTGCAGTGCTATAAACGAGATTTTTTTTTCTAAATTTCTTATCTTATTAGGATCTACTAATCTTGATTTAGCTGAGGTTCTGTGTTGGGATAATCTAATTGACCCTGGTCAACTACTTTGATCTATGCATCTCACCTCGATTTGATAAACTAAATTATTCTGGTATGATTGGATCAATTGGATCTTTTAACTTAAAAAGTCTAAGTGAGTTTGTAGGTTTAAGCGCTACTGTGATACCATTCAGCCTTATTGAGAATCCTACTGAGTATTTCTGAGGCACCTTCTTTGTATAGTAATAATGTAGAGGTTTTCAATTCTCTCTTCACAGTATTACCACTACTATTATTAACATTATTATTACTACTATTAACACCGGCTGAGAACGAACCAACCAAAGAACCTTTTACTGAACAAATATGCAGAAGAAAGTGAAGATGGATTGGGCATACACTGAGAAGGCCGACTGAGGACACCATGCACCAGGCTAGGTCATCAATTGGAATTCAAAGGGGAAACGACAAGATGGACATCGGAGGCGACGGTGACATGGAGGAGATGGTGTGTGTGAAGAAGAAATGAAAGGTTGTTGGCAGTCGTGATGCCAGTGCAATAGAGGCGTGCTAGTGAACCGAGTAAAGTATCTTTGATGTATCTAGTTTCTTGTCTAAGTAACGATTTGAATGTGAAAGTTTTCTGTTGACACTAGTGTATCTAAACTCTTGTCTTGTTTCTATTTTCTTCTATAATTCAACATCACTAATTTTCTTTCATTATTTTCTAATTTATACGTGAATTAGATTGTGTTAACTACTGCATTTACTTATCTAGAGGAACTATGTATGTGCTCCGATTTCAACACTGTAAACGTTCAACTATTCATAAATATGTCAGTCACAATAGGAAATGTTTCAAGTTGTTATTCATCGAAGACTGACATCAGTTGGAGGAACAAAGGAAACCTGGGAGCACTGGACAGCTGTTTCGTCCTAGTATGGTTGCGGGTTCGATCCCTGCTGGTGGGTTCGTGGATGCGCACTGCTGAGGAGTCCCATACTAGGACGAAACAGCTGTCCAGTGCTCCCAGGTTTCCTTTGTTCCTCCAACTGATGTCAGTCTTCGATGAATAACAACTTGAAACATTTCCAAATCTCCACAACCCCTCACAATAGGAAATATTGGTAATCCGATAGCAGACAACTCTTTCTATTTGTTTTATACAGTTTATTCTGAAACTTAAATATTGTGAAAGTTAGGCATAGCTACACTCTTAGTATGATATCATCTACTGGCACATTAGTTTATAGTGTAAGCTAGCTCATGGTCATTATTCAGTTCATTTCTAACTGCTTCCAGGGTTATATCAATCGGTATTTTGATATACAAATTAACTACATGAAAAATAATCATTTTTTTCATTGTCAATCTATTCTGTGCTTCAAATCATAAGAATAAGTAAATGTTGATTTAGATCGATTTCTAATTGGACCTAGTACCATCGCTA